ATCTCTAAGGGAAGGGCCATTATGGCCTTGACTAGCTTCCAGTGCCAGTGACAAGCCTCGGTGTTCCTTCACCTGATGCTAACTCCAAATTCTCCTCTGGTCACCATTTGGCCATCTTCACCATATCCTACTTCTGTGTGTCTCTGTGTCCAAATGTCCCTCTTCTCATAAGGACACTAGGTATTGGGTTAGAGTCCATGCAGTAGTAGTAGTCCATGAAGTAGTCCCCTACATCCTGACTTTAGTACATCTGCACAGACCCTACTTCAGAATAAAGTCACATTCATAGGTATAGAGGGGTTCAGTTGGACACACATTCTGGGGGACACAATTTAATCCACAGCATTAGCCAACAAAATTCCTTCTGAGTTTAGCCATTTTAGTTCAAGGTTTTGATCCTTTACACCAAGCAAAAGGCAGAGCCAAGTATCTTAATTTCTCAGAGTCTAAGTTAACACTAAAACTAAAATGCTGGGTCTTCAGCTTAATGGGCCACAGGCCTGAACTCTAGAGACTTGGAGCTGAGAAGAGAGTTCACTGTGTATTACCACACACCCAAATTTTAAGCTGTGATTAGGCTAAGAGATGATTGTCAACTTGATTGTATTTAGAAACACTGAGAAGGTGGGTGGGAGCACTGCCGTGGGCATATCTGTGTGGGCATTTCCAGGGAAGAATGACATAAGGGAGGAGACCCACCCTGAATCTGCGCAGAACCATCCCATACCATGGGCCTGGACTGGTAAGAGGGGAAGTGGAGCAAAGATCCAGGAAGGGGCTTGAATTCTCTTCTCTCCGTTTCTTTAGCCACCAGCACGTGCACTGCTCTATTTGACCAGGTCTTCTCTGACACAGTGGACTGAGACCCCTGAAAGTGTGAGCCAGAATAAACCTTCCTCTGCTTAGTTCTGTTTGTCAAGTAATCGGTCACAGAAACCGGAAAGTGATGAATACAAGTCACAGGTCGCGTATGTGGCTGCTTTTGTGGTTTCTCTAAGGTGGAAAGCTCAGCACATGTGGCAACGAGAGGGCATCTGCACCTTCCCAGGCACTGAAAGTCCAGCTCTGAGCATCAGCCATGCCTTTTTCACACACATGGGGTGTTTAAGACAGGTCTTGAGAAAAGGCAATCACCACTGGCTACACTGAAAAATGGATAAGTCAGCCTGATATCTGTAGGCTTATTTTAAATGTAAACCATGTCCAAACTAGTGGAGAAACCCAAGTGAAAGACAGTCCCATGTTGTGGGATATTTGATCACACTGTGGACTCCGAGATTGCATCATTTACTTAAGGAACCTGCTTCTAGCTGTGGTGTGGCTCAGCCCTAGCACACGCCTGTAATCCAAGAGCTTTATGCTTGAATACTGTAAACAGGATTAAATAAAAATCAACATAGGTTGAGAGCAGAGCAAGCGACCAGTTGATAAGAAAAACCATAGAGTGGGTAGAAGTCAGGAGGACAGATAGAGAGACACACAGGAAGTAGAAGTTGGCAGGAGGACATCTGGTTGGAAGAGTTTTTGTTTCAGACAATGGTAGGAGAAAGCTCTCATTCTGGGACAACAAAGGAGGAAGCAGCTGGGTGCTTTCTTTGCGTTCTGAGCTGGCAGGTTTTCACCCCAGCATTTGGCTCTCAAGTCTTTGAAGATAAACTAGAACAATAGAGACTTAGGTAAAAACAGCAGCCTAGGGCTCCAGGTAAGAAGAGAAGTAGTGGTGGGACAGAAATTACAACTTCTGCAGAAAGAGACAGCATTTCCTTACAAAGCTCATTTAGGCCTGGTCCCTAAGTCTCTTGGTAATGCCACCAGCCATACTTCCTTGAATTCTGATTGACTAGGTAGCAGGCCCAATCCACACAGGGGAACCCTGATGGCTAAATAAGTAGCTAGGTAGTTTCCTGGGCATCTGGGATTTCAAGAAAGGCAGACTTGGGGTTGGGTCTCTCAGCACTTTCCAGCAGCAGGTGGATTTGTTTTCTGTGGCCAATGTGACAAATTTTACCAACTGGGACTTAAAACAATAACAACCTACTCTCCCAGTCAGGAAGGCCAGATGTCCCAAATCAGAGTGCCAGTGGGCACTCCTCAACTTGTAGCTGCACCCCTCTAATCTCTGGCAGTTTTCATATGCTTTTCTCTCTGTGTCTGTCTTCCTTTAGCCTTCTCCCTATGCCTCTGTGTCTTGCAAGCTCTTTTTCTCACTCCTTTCTGAAATAAAGACACTAGTCATTAGATTAAATGTTCACCATAAATTTAAGATGATTTCATTGCAAGGTTCTCAGCTTCACAGTATCTACAAAGACCTGTTGTGGGATAATCTTTTTGTGCACTGTGAAGATGCGTCTCTGCCTCAGGCACCTTCTTATTGGTTTAATAAAGAGCTGAATGGCCAGTAGTTAGGCAGGAGAGAATAGGCAGGACTTCTGGAGAGAGTGGAGAACTCGGGAAAAATCAGAGGCATGTGGAATTTCGCCAGCAAGACAAGGAGGAAATCAGACATACAGTATAGTGAGGAGGTAACGGAGCCACATGGCAGAACATAGATTAATATGAACTGGTTAATTTAAGTTATAAGAGCTAATTGGGAATAAGCCTAAGCTTAGGTCAAACATTCATAATTAGTAAGTCACCTTGTCATTATTTGGGAGCTGGCTGGATAAAGAAAGACTACAAAGACTTCCAAAAACAAATATATGAACAGGGAGCTAAAACTCAGACATATCTAGTGTTTGGGCAGCACAATTCCATCCATGGAGGTAGAGTGGAGACCTAGAAATCTGCACTTTCATGAGCATCCAAAAGGACTCTGATGGGCAGGCCTTATTTTGAGAAATCTGATCCATTTGTTGCAGATTCAAAGATGGAACAAATATGGATCCCTATCTTAGGAGACATACCTTTTATTAAGAGATGTAGACAGATTATAAAAAGCACTGCTTCATAATGCCAAGCAAGGACCCAGTACAAAACATACCTGGGTTCAAATCATGCCCCCTCCAGTTACAAGCTGTAAGACTTAGAGTATGTTCCTTGGCTTGCCTGAGCCCTGACTTCCATACTGTTTAAGAAGTGATTCCTACATATGTTGTTGTGAGATTCAGAGAGCTAAGGAAAATATGACTTCCTGTGCAATGACTGACATGAAGGGCATAGTCAAGAGACAGACCTTAGCTACTCCTAAGGCAGAAGGCAAGTTCTGCTCATGCTTACACTGCAGGTCTTTAGCATAAATCCACACAAAGTAAATTCCACTGTACTATAGCATGTGGCCTATGGTAGCTATGAATGTAGTCACAAAATTATGGACTCACTTAAAACATGAAAAGCTTTTGCAATTTTTTTTGGTAACCCAATTGTGTGATTCTTATATGTTATGTTATTAACAAGATGAAACTCAGTTGGGGTTGATGAGACAACTTTCAAAAGACCCATTTCATGAACTGTGAACTTATTCACAGATTTATCAGTTACCCTATGTATATGGAGCTCCAAGTGTAGGCATTGAAGAGCCAATTGAAAAACACAGTCCAGCTAGGTTACCATGGCCATGAAATGTAGTCAATACAAAATAAACACCAGCCATTGGGAGGCACCCTCAGGGGATTTGATTACACTTCCTTTCTTTGTTTATTGAGTGACTTTCTTTCCAGACCACACCAGTAAACCTCATGTGTCCTTTAGGGCAGGAAGGAGATTCTGAGGTGTCTTCTGAACAGGTGACCCCTGAATTCTAAGCATGGAATAGTGCGTCTAACTTCTTGTTTGTTTTTATTTGTTTGGGAGAAGAGGGTCTTATGTAGATCTTTGAACTCACTATGTAACAGAGGGTGGCCTTGGACTCCTGATCCTGCTCCCTCTACCTCTACAAAGTGCTGGGATCACAGGTGTGCATCCCTCTGGCCAGCTTCGGTGCTTGACTTCCAATAAACACTTTCAACACACATCTACTAGAACAGGGAATAGTGTACCTTCTGAGTCAGAGCCCAGCACTGAATTTCCTCCAACCTCCTTCGCCTCTATGAATAATTCTTGATGGGCCCAGAGACGGATTCTCAGTGGACCTATTCCCTGACATAAAGCCTAACAGATGGAGGAGACAGAGATAGGCTGAGACATGATGTATCATCATCCTACTGGAGGTTCATCCAGTGCTAGACCAATGCTAAACGAGCTAAACTAGGGCAGAGGCCCCAAGTGTTGGAGCTCTGCACACACTGGGCGTTAAGTGGCTAGATAACTGGAGGACCCACCCACACAGATGGTGGTGGTGAGAGGTTGCTTGTTTGGGAAAGGGAGACATCACTATCCCTCTCGTCTGGAGAAGCCAGAAGCCTGGGCCGGGAAACAAACTCAGGGTGGATTAAAGAGGAGGCGGCCTAAGAGTCTGAACGCTCACTCCTGGGAATGTTCCAGGAACTCGCTGGGGAGGGTGTGGTGTTGTCTGCTTCCACAGGTCAAATCACCTCTGCACCTGTCTCATTCCTTTGAGAAACGAACGGCTCTGCTACCTCACACACAGTAGGAGCAGGAAACAGAAGTCAAGTGAATGGAGTAAGTGAATGCATGAACCAACCGTTGCAAGGTTGCCAAACTCATCCACCCAAACCACTGTTCCAAGTCATGCCATCTGGCCCAGTCGTTACCCAAGGGCCCGGATTGTCCCCCAGGCGTCACCTTTCCAGCACCAGCAATCATCCAATCGCTTGCCTCCAAACCAGTGGTGACTAGGCAGGCAGGTGGGGCTTGTCTTTCTTCTCCCGGATCCCAGGGCTGCCTAGGCTCTCCAATCCTAGGCCAAACCCTGGCGGGCTAAGCGCCCCTCCCCAGAGCCTGGCACCAGATGGCGCGGGAGACCGCGGCGCCCCCACAGGCCCCAAAGTGCGGGCTGGACCGCGCACCTGCAGGTTCTGCGGGGGCCACCTGGTACCCGGCCTCTCCGGGGTTGCGGACCCGCTGCAGCAGCTCGGGAGGCCGACCCGGAGCCCCGGCCTCACCTCGCTCACCAGCCCCTGCCAGTCGCTCTCGGTCCGATCGCCATCCATGTCCCCTCCTGCGTGCGCGGGCCGGCTGCACAGACGCCTCCCTTCTCCTCCTCCAGCTCCTGTCGCCGCCGCCACCCTGGCCCCGCGCAGCCGGGAGAGGGCCGGGCACCACCGAGCCTCCGCGCTGCCGCCGCCGCCGCCCGCGCGGCTGCCTCCACGTCAGCCTCCGCGGAGGAAGGGGAGGAGGAGCCGGGCCCCAACCACTGCTCTGCAGCAGCCCGGGGCCGGCGCCCCGGGAAACCCAGGCCACCAGCCGAGTCTCCTAGGGAAGGGAGCTGGCCTGTGAACCTGCACACAATCCCAGACCCCATCATTCCCAGCCCTGCCGTGAGGGAGGGAGGGAGGCTGGTGAACAGGTGGGTGTCACCCTAACTCAAAGAAGCTAAACTCCCCCATCCAGCCATCCTCTGCCGGGTCAGGCCTCCATCACTGGAATCGAAGCTCCTTCAAGAAAGGGCCTTCCTTTTCACTGAGGAAGGTTTGGAACAATCTTTGCACTCAGTAGATGCTCTACATATTTTTGTTGAGCACATAAATGAACCCCTCCATGCTGTACACTGATACCTTTTTTAAGCTACCAACATTTGCTCTTTTAAAAAAAAAGTATCAGATGTCATATTCAGAACGCAAATGCAAAAATTGAAAATAAAACTTTAAATTCTGAAGAGGGCCAAAAAGCTCAATGGTGGGACTTGGGACTAGTTGAGAGTGATGTTCAAGTTTGTGCCATCCAAGGATCTATGTAGAAGAGGTGGCAGAAAGATTCTAAGGGTCAGGGACAGTGGACGACTTCAAGGAAACAGTATTTTGCAAGCCCAACAGGACTGATGTGCATATGAACTCTCAAAACCTGTACAGGCTCAAGCCAAATACCAGAGCACCAAGAAGCAAAGGGGCCACAAAGTCCCACCCCTAAACAGGAAGCTATTTGCAGTTGATGGCTACTGGGAACAGGAAAAATCCGTTTTCTTAAACAGAGTGACATTTCAATCAGACTCCAGGGCAGACCCCATGTTCAGGAGTGGTTGGCCAGCACAGATAGAACTCCGTGGGTTTCTGTTTGTCTGTTTGTTTGTTTGGTTGGTTGGTTTTTTAATGCTTTTGTTTTGTTGTTGTTGCTTTAGGAGAGAAAGAGAACATGAAGTTGGGTGAGGGGAGAAGGTCTGGGAGGATGATGGGGGATGTTTTCTGTATATATGTTTATCTTGCTGGTTGATGAATAAAACCTGGATTGGCCAGTAGGTAGGCAGGAAGTTAGGCAGAGCTACCAGATGAGAAGAATTCTGGGGAGATGGCATAGAGAGAGGTTTCAAGAGAGACACCAGGTAGCTGCTGAACAAGTAACATGTTGGAGCATTCTCTGGTAAGATAAGATCACGAGGAAATACTTAGATCAATAAACATGGGTTAATTAAGAGAGAGCTAGCCAATAAGAAGCCTGAGCCATTGACCAAACAGTTTATAATTAATATAATCTCTGTGTTTATTTTGGGCTAAACAGTTGTGGAATCAGGCAGAAAAGAAACTCCATCTTCAGGAGGACTTGGGGAAGAGGAAAGAATATAAAAGTATATTATATGAAATTCTCAAAAAATAAATAAAAGTATCTTTATAAAGATAATTCCATTAAACTTTCACTAGAAGGAAGACTAGAAGAAGCTGCAGACAGACGGGAACCTCAAGTGGATGCTATGTGACCCCCTTTTATTTGCCAACAGAAAGCTTTCCACACTTGGGGAAATACAGCTTGTTCAAATGAGTAGGTAGCCTGAGAAGTTGTTAATCCATTTGACAACTGCAGAAGCCTCATAGGCAACATGTATTCACAAGTTCCGTTCCTATGGGTAGTCCATCATTCCTGTGATGCTTTCCCTTTTATCAGTTAAGAAAACTGAGTGCTGCCGGGCAATGGTGGCACACATCTTGAATCCCAGCACTCGGAGGGCAGAGGCAGGTGGATCTCTGTGAGTTCAAGACGAGCCTAGTCTACAAGAGCTAGTTCCAGGACAGCCTCCAAACCCACAGAGGAACCATGCCTCAAACCACCCCCTCCCCCAAAAAAAAAAGAAAAAAGAAAAGAAAACTGGGTGCTGAGATCTGGAGAAATGGCTTTTGGCCCCAGCATGCTGTAAACCTCAAGATGAAATACCATGCTTGAGAATGGGAAACACTGAGCTCTGTTCCTGGCTTTTTTTTTTTTTTCCTGGTATAGTAGATTGTTTCCAAGGTGGTAGCCTTTCTGTCTCTTCCATTATCTCTCATTCTGGGCTCAGTCAATTGACTGCCTTTACCCAGGCAATGCTCGCAAATGTATTATAGAATCAAATCATTAAGCACCTTTGGGATGGGTGCCTGTGAGTGCCTCCATAAAAACAAGTCCAGAATGGCTTAGTGGTTGTCACATGACTCTCTGGAACAGCCATCCACCAACCAACCATCGTGTGTGAGGTCCCCGTCTGACACAGGTGCAGGGGTGAGCCCAGCTAAGACAACAGGAGAACTGCCCAGCTGAGCCTTGCCCAACTCGATGACCCATAGACCCATGCAGTAAATAAGCAGTGTGTACATCAGTGTGTTTTGGGCTTGTCTACTGTGTATCAGCAGATCAGTGGTATCGATGATGGTAGCACTATTGATGAAGCCAGGCTGGATGGCTGAGCTCTCCCTATCAGCCCAGAAAAGGGTGTTTGTGCCTGACACCATAGCATGTTGGGGTCTCATCCACAAAAGCTTCTACAATATACTAACAGAGGAGGGATTATGAGAAGAAGCCTGCCTACCTGAGAGTTCTTTGTGCCTGAACTCATCCTGAGAAGGGTGAAGAGCACTGCAGTCCATGATCTCTGTCCTGGCAGTATGCAAACTGATGTTCTAGAGAAGAAGAAAAGGGAAAAGAAAATAGAGAGAAAAGAAGGAAATGAACCAGGTACTGCAAAATCTTCTAGTCTCCTCTCTGTCCCAGGCCACCTAGCTCATTCTTGCTGCAATCCAAGAAGTTGGAAAAAGGTCATCCCTCGGTAGAACCGCCTGGGTTAATTAACTCAGTGCCAAGCACTTACTCCTAACAGCCTGTCTCTTACCTGAAAAGCAAGGTACTGTCTGCCAATATATTGCCCTCTGGCAAACCATCTGCTTCCATTCTGACCTGTCGATGAAATAAAATGTTGAGAGAGTCGGCAGATCTGGGCCATCTGCCTTGCTCTCTGCTGGCCTTCAGGTGGGAAAGCCTCTTCTGGATACCTGGTTTAGCCGAGTCCTTAAGCTCAGCTGCTCCGGGGAGCCATCACTGACATTTTAGGCAGCAGGATGGGTGATCAATGAACTGCTGAGAGCCAAGATGCCTTCCTTTGGAAGCCATGGACCTTTAAGCCGACTGCCCATGGTTTGCTTTCTTTCCCTGCAATAACAGACAGGGATCAAAGTATTTAAGGGAGAAAGTGGGGAGGAAATCAAAATGCATGGGTCAGGCCTCTACCCCACCCGCTCCGCAGCAGGCTGAGAAACCTTCCACGAGGTTGCAAAACACCATCCTGAGTTGCTGGGGGTTTCCTGGAGATTGCACGTGCCAGCTCCTACCAGCTCCGCCGGTAAGATGTGATGGAATCACAGAGCAAGGCAGTGGGGCTGCAAGCCATGCTTTTTTATCTCTTTTCATTTATGTAGCCTGACATTGAGTAATAATAATAATTAAATCCAGTTTAAGCTTTTAGGCACCTATACCAGAAGGCCTCTAGACACCTCATCAACAACAGCCCTTGCTGGTGCAAACAAAGCTAATTATATTGTGGTTAACTGCTTTCAAGGAAAAATAAAATAAAAATCAAACCACTTACAACTGTCTTCACCTAAGACAAAAGCAATCCATTAAATGTCCTACCCAGTGCCGGTGCACGTGGGGCCAGTTTAAACAGGTGACCTTCTGTTCAGCTTGACACCCCGGCACAAAATACAGAAACACAGGCTTTAGCTTCCGTTTTCACACCCCCTTAGTTTTCTGGAAAAAAAAAAAAAGATCTCTCAAGACCCAATTTCTTCATATGTATTCATAGCCCCAAGACCAATTGTATTAATTTATTTCTACCACCTAAGTTGGCAGGAGTGCTTAGATGTCTTTGAAGGAGGCTTCTCACTTTTCAGAGTCTGAGAGAGATCAGATGTGGAAACTCCAGAATAGTTCAATGTAAGAAGTTAAGCCAGTACATACTAACAAAACCAAAAGCAAAAGGAGATCCTGGGGAGACTAGGAAAGAAAATAAACCGGCTGTCAGCTGAGCGCGATCATCTGGCCCTATCCCAACAGCTTCAGACACCGAGGGGAAAACCCGGGAGCTTTTGATGCTTCCACAATATTGTCGGTTTGGATTCTGGCTGCCCATGCGAAAAATGTCAGAGTTCTCATTAAATGAAAAGGTGGTTGTTCTCCTGGAGGGATTTTTGGGCCCTTCCCTTCTGAACTGCCAAGGCACTAGTCAGGGCTAGTCCTCTCCCTTCTCGTCGCCTTTCTCCTGTCGAAATTAAGAAATCCAACTGGGGAAGAAGATGATTCGTAGTGGTTGTGGGTTGTGGGTTGGTGCCCGTGCCCGTGTGTTTAATTGGCTCTGCAGAAGTTAAGGATGGCTGATATCTCTTGTTAGTGAAGACAGGGTCGTTTTGACCCGCCCTACCAGGAACCTCCACAGGCTGGTTGCTCCTGATTTTAACTGGAGACAGAGAACTAATAGGTTCCTTGCAAGGGCTTCCTGAAGAGCCTTGAGACCTGAGGTCCCCTGGGCCACTGGCCTCAGTTCTGTGGAAAAAACAAGGCTCTGCCGCTTCCACTGCTTAGGGACACTTTGTGAGAGACCCCATTCATCATTTCCCCGCAGAGGGCCAAGCAGCAAAGGGGTAGATGAGGGATTCGGGCCGCTTCCTCGTTCTCAGCATGCTGCGTGTGTTAGCCGGTGGAGTTCCTGGGGCCTCCCTGCCACCTCCTCTAAACCCTTCCTGCCCAGCAGCAATCATGCACGCTCCCGATCCGCCTCCAGCCCGGCTGGCTGCCAATCAGCCCGGCAACGGGGGGTGGAAGGAAGTTCCACTTCCCGCTGAACCTCGCTGAGGTGCTCCGAGCCACTGAGTGAGGCTGATGACCGCCTGGCAGGCTCCGGGACGCAATTGTCACCCGGAGCAGTCGCACGCCTGGGCTGATTGGCTTGGGCGTTGCGGGAGGCAGTAGCAGGGAGAGGAGGAGGAGGAGGCGGAAGAGGAAAGTTGAGACTAAGGGGGCTGAGAAGCCTGGAGGAAAAGGAAAGAGCTGGGAAATGAGCTGGAGGGGGCGAGGGACCCAGGAAGAGGCAGGGCCTGCGCGCCTGATGAAAATAAAGAACCTCAGGAGGAGAGCCGAAAACCTCG